AAGTCTCCATCTTTTTTTATGGCAGAACAGTATTCCATGGTGTATATATATATATATATACTACAATTTATTAATCGATTCATGGGTTGATGGGCACTTTGATTGTTTCCACATCTTTGCAATTGTGAATTGAGCTGCTATAAAAACAACTCTCAAAGAGTAAGGACAGGAAGCCAAATACCAGATTAAAATTAATCTTCTTTAACTGGCCTCTTTATTCCCTTTTTAGGGACTTCTGCTTCACTATCATTTCTAACCAAGAATGTTTAAAAATTTTCATAGATAATGTGTACATGAGTTAATTGGTACAGTAAAATTATAAAGCCATGGATAATGATGTATAAGGTACTATACCATGGTGGTTAAGTGTCTAGGCCCTGGAACCAGAATGCCTGAGTTTGAATCTTCACTTCCTCAGTGTATGACTTCTCTGTGCCTTAGTTTTCTCATTTGTAATAGTACTCACCTTATATAGGTTGTTGTGGGCCTAAATGAGTTGTCATCTATACAGCACTTAGAACTGTACTTGATGCTTAATAAGAGCCATATAAAGGTTAATTGTTATTATTTCCATCCTAACACTTAGAAAAAAGGATAACAAATTGTTACAGACTTTTTTCTATGTGTGTGTTTGTATACACACATATTTATAAACACATATATGTACATGGGTAAGTATAGATATACTTTTATTCAAATTGGATTGTACTGTTTCTGTAGCCTTCTTTTGTATTCAACACCATATATTAGTCCATGCCATTAAATGACATAATCAGTGTTTAAAATGTAAATTAGATGCTTTTAGTCCTAACTACTCAAGAAGACATGGATCCTTTTGACCAAATACATGCACATATGATAAAGTTGAAAATTTCTGGGAGCTATATTGAAAAACTTATAAGCTTTATAAGTACTTATAAGTACTTGTTGTTGTTGGTATGGCTTACTTAAATGGTTAATAGGCATTGGTATATCCTACCTAAGATGATGATTATTTGCCTGATTTGTTAAGCAATGATACTCTACTTGTTAAATGTTTTCCTTGGAACCAGTATGGAAGCTTGAATGCTGTTTTTAAAGTGTTACAGTGGGAAAGACACTTGAATACTGTTCTTACAAAGAAGTAAAATGATATATAAAAAGTACATTTATCATTAATAGTATTATTTTTTCCTCCACCTCTTTTTGACTTTTCAGGAGATGTTTCACAAGGCAGAAGAATTCACATCCAAAACAACAGATAGTGAAATGGATGACATGGACACGTCAGACACCCAGTGGGGCTGGTTTTACTTGGCAGAATGTGGGAAGTGGCACATGTTTCAGGTATCTTCTTTTCTTGAATTTCACAGAAGGGATTTAGAGTCACCTAGCATCATCTTGCTGATGTGTATAATGACCATGAAATGCAGAACTTGAGATCAAACCTTAAGGTTTTCTTTTAGCTTTAGTAAAAGAAAAGTTAGAAATTCTTCGAGTCCTTTTCCTTTTCTTTTCCCCAGGTTTTCACATTCATTTATTTAGAAGAAACACTATGTGTTTACTGTGTGTACAGAGGGCCAATATGAATGAGTTGCATGGTATCAGTACATCTGAGCAACTCCAAATTTGATTTGGTGGACAAAGAGAAAGGGAAGAACAAATCCATATTAAACACCTTCTGTACACCAGGTATTATGTTAGGTGTTAGCAGATGTTCAAACTCTGTTTTAAAGTGAAAGAAAGCAAAACTAAAAAAATTAACATAGTTTGTCTAGGGTCACACAGCTACTTTAAACCCATACTCACAAACCTGCACTTTTTTTTTTTAACCAAGCTGTTTAAAGAAGATTTCATTTGAGCCACTTAGAAAGAGTAATTATTGGAAAAATTTGTAAAAATTGTAGTAATCTAGAAGAGGGGACTATACCCAGTTGTTTCTTCACTTGAAATCCTTAAACCACTTTTTATTATCTCCCTGTGTGCTGGGAACTAGAACAGGTGATTAGTAAGTTTCCCTGGTCCCTCTGTTCCCTGTCTCTGTGACCACAGTACCACCTCTGTGGCCAAGTCATTAATGTGAACAGCTCGTAAATGAAACTTTCTGGTTTGTCTTAAAGCCGGATACCAACATTCAGTGTTCAGTTAGCAGTGAAGATATCGAAAAAAGCTTCAAAACAAACCCTTGTGGCTCCATTTCTTTTACTACTTCCAAATTCAGCTACAAGATAGACTTTGCAGGTATGTTTTTTTTCCCTAATAGTTGTGTGTTTTTAGTATATTGATATGATAAAATCTATAGCTCTGAAGATCAGGATTAGTTGAAACATTTGCAAGCAGTAAAGTAAATCCTTTTTGTTATACACAAAAATACCATTATAAAGATTCAGGATTTAAAATCTTCTTAAGCATCATTGTCTTTTATAAAGGCATGTTTATGTGTTTATATATAAATGTACATGAAGATTGTCACGTATTTTGAGTTCATGTAATATTTGTCTTGTAAAGAACACAAAATACTTTCTAACAATTGTATTCATCCCATCAGTCTTATGAAATAGGTAGGAGCCTTTTTATTTATGATCAAACTGAGAGATTAAGTGAGAAAGTCATAGGTAGCTGGTGATAGTTTTAAAACCAAAGTTTAGCTGAATGAACTTTCTCTTGGTGTCTATTTCCTGAATGGACATTGCCTGTGCCATTTTTCTGATTTCCTGGACTCTTTCACAGATTGGCTATCTAATTAGGAAATCAGCTTCACTCTGGATTTCATCTGTGATACAGGAACATGTTTTTAGGTATCCCATAAACAATGTGTTGGGACTCATCACTTCAAGTTTCAGGGTGCTAGCATCAGCTGTTTATTGCTCAGTGGACAATAAGACCCAGATGGGAGGCTTTCTTAATAAAAGTACATTTTGGTTACTCTGCAGCTCAGTACTTTAGCTGTTCTTTCCCAATTTCTGTGAGTAATGTCTTTCTGACAGTGTTAGTAGTGGACTATGGTTGGGTAAGGTAGTGAAACCTTAAGAAATTCCCTTGAATGAGCCAAGACCCAGAAGTAGTAAAAGGGATTAGTCCAGTAAGGGGTTGATGCAACCAAATATCTAATGTTTACTGTCTCACCAAAGTTGATTTTCTTTTTTTTATTTTTTATTATTATTATTATTTTTTTAATTATCAAGTTAAAACCATTAGATTTTTTCTCCCGACTAACCATACCTTTTCTTAAAAAAAATGATATTAGGCAAATAAGCTGCCTTTAAGGGGGTTCTGACACCTGCCCGTCTGCTATAGTCTAGGCTGAAGGTGTCTAGTAGACATTTTTAGTCTTCTATACAGGTGCACATTTTGAGGCAGTACTAAAAGAGAATCAGATACCAGGCTTCACACAGAGAATGAAGTTTGCCAAAGCACTTGGTAGATATCCAGCAAGTCACATGTTGGCTTCCTGTCAAAAATGCAGTTTATTAACAAATATCCTTATCAAAGAACAGGAGTCACATACTCTAATAATTCATGTTTCCCAACCTTTAGTCTATATAATGCTTCTTGTTTCAAAGGTGTAGTAGTAGCATTTCATATGAACAATTTGCAAAGTTATTAGCCCCAACCATTGTACCACTAGCCAACTCAAGTTCTTTCTATAAAAAGGGTGAAAATTAAACTCCAAATGAGATGGTTCAAGAAAATGGTATCATAGGTCTTGTGCTATGTTGAGGTGATCTGCTTCTTCCCTGAACAGTGGTAACCCCAGTGTGTGTAGAGTCCTGGGGAATACAGAAAGGGCAGAGCACACTTTATGATAGCATTAACCTGGGGGGTGGGGGGGTGAACCACTTTATTCTAGAAGGGATTGACATTAGTTAGATGAGGTAAACTGGCCAATATCCTACCCTGAGACTCACTTCTTAACTTTGTGGGAATGAAGAACTAGACCTGGTAAATACTGCCATGACTGAGGCACAAATGAGAGAAGAAAACACCTTTGGTTAATTAGTCTGTTATCATTAGAATCTTTTTATGTATGTATCGAGTCTATCCAGGTTTTCTTTTATGTGTTCTAATTTAAAGACGAGGCAAGAATTTTTGAAATTCTGTGAGTTGTGCAAGTTTTATAATGATAATGCATTTCCTTTATCATTTCCAAAGTTTTTGGAGAAATCAAAGTATATTTTTCTACTTAATAACCCAGCCTGAAGATTTAGTACCACACTTGCTCTCTTTATTACACTCTTAACCTTCCTAAGTTTGCAACACCTCTGTTTTAGTGTAGGTTTCGCCTAAGCGTGACACAGAAAGGAGTAGACCCTGCGTACTGATCAGTGGATGAGTTAGCGTCTTTTGCATCTTTTGGTAGAAGCTTAGATCACACAGTGAAGCTGTGCTTCCCTGGCTAGCACCTTCATGATTCACAGATGTATGATAAAGTACCGGTATCTGTAATATGCTGGGCCTGCCAGGTACTTCAAAAGTTCCATGATTCCTGATTGTCATATAGTGTGGCTACTAATCTTCATGACACTTTATAGTGCAATGTATTATTTCTCTAACTTACTTGATCTTTTGTCTTTGTATACAGAAATGAAGCAAATGAATCTCACCACTGGAAAGCAGCGTTTAATAAAAAGAGCCCCCTTTTCTATCAGTGCTTTCAGGTATTGTAAGAGAGTAGAGGTGAAAAGGGTGGGGTTTTCTTCTCCCTTCTCTTTCTTACTATTTGACATACAAACAGACTGAAGCATTTGGGTAGGTCATATAATGATCTCAGAATTGATCTTTTAAATGTCAAATATCTCTTTTGTTGACAAAATAGCAACATTATTATTTTCTGTAAGTACTTTAATGTTATTCTTGTCCTTTCTCTTTGTATATTGACATTTGTTAATTATTAAGAACAATTTGCTTGATATTAAATAGTTACAAAATACTGTATGGACTTTGCCCTAAACACCTAAAATAACTCCCTGAGGTACATTTGAATTGCTAACTTGGAAATATTCTTGCAAAACCATAGACTTATTTGGACCATTAGTCCTAGATAATTACCTTCTTTGTTTCCACCATCCTAGTCTCCACTGGTCAACTCGAAGTAACTTCAAATCTCTGATGACTAAAGGAGACACAAGGGAGATAGTACAGTGGAACAACAGTATAGCTGCCTGTTCCCTGGGTCTGGGGGCAAATTTTCTTTTTGCTCTCTTTGATCATATGTAGTCTGAAACAAGGTATAAATGCAAGATGACAATAAATACTTGCTATTCATTTGAATGGAATTGAAGGGAAAATTCTTAGAGAATGTCTCCTATTTTCTGGAATGATTCCTCAAGCAAATACTGAAATTCCCTCCATTCAAACAATTTTAAATGAAGCTGAATAAAAAAAGATAGCATGTGAATTATAGGGAATACTTTTTCTAAGGACTTTTTTGTAAAGGATTAAAGAAAGAAATATTTTAAATTTCTGTTGGTTTGTTTCTCAAGTCATTTGGCTTATCTTTCATCATCACGATTTAAAAGTTATTCAAATGCATATATAATGAATATTTTAGTACTTCTATGGAATATAGGGAACATTATCTCCTTACCAGCTATATCATGTTCACATTCTTCAGTACAAGGAATATAATAAAGGAATTACTTATCTTCAAAGAGTATGTAATCTGGGAGGAAAATGAGACATAATAATGGAAAATGTTATTGTAAAGAATCACTTTGTTCTGTCACACACTGTACAAACCATCGAACTAAGAAAGGACAAGGAGAACATTAAACAGAATGGAGGACACACAGAAGATAGTAATAAAAGAGAAGAATAGGTAGGAGAGCGATCAAGGTCAGTAGGTGCTGACATAGAAATATTTATTGTGGGAATATATTGAGTATGTTTTACATGCAAGGCAAATAGCTTCATATTGGCAAGGAGTTAATTAAAGCTGTGGGCTACATAAAAATGTAAAAAAAAATTTTTGTTTTCATGGTTAAAAGGCACTTTAAACAAAGTGAGAAAAAAATAGAGAAAATATTTTCATTCATTTTTATTACAGGTAGAGGGCTAATTTCTGTAGTATATGAAGTACTTTTAGGACTCTCTCAATAGAAGACCAACACTGGCAAAGAATTTGAACAGTTCTTAAACCTCACCCATAGTAAGAGAAATACAAATTAATACAGACTAAATTTTACTGTCAGATTGGCAAAAATTTGAAAGCTTGATAACATATTTTTTGGAGTGGTTCTTGGGAAATAGGCATGTTTTATATTTCTAGTGAGAATATCAATAAAATATATCCTTCAAGGATGGCATTTGAGTAGTGTCTGTAAAAATTGTGAATATGTATATTTATTCCATTTACAAGATATTATTTTACAGATAGAATAGTGGACATGTAAAATGACAGATGGACAAAATTTCTTTTCAGCATATTTAATACAGTAGCAAAAAGTTGGAAGACAGGCTAACTATCACCAATAGGGGACTGCTTTCAGAATTATGGTGTATCCATACAATGAAATAATATGCATCTGTAAGTTAGAATGCACTCATTTATCCAGACAATGTTTATTGAATGTCTGCCATGTGCCAGGCTGTATTGTAGGTACAAGAAATGAGGATACTCTCTAAGTACTGGTATGGAAAGATTTCTAAGAATTTATTAAATAAAAAAAAACAGGTGCAAAATAATGTATACTTTATGTGCAGGGGAAAAAGCTTGGCTTGTATGAACCTCAAGAAGTTCTGAAAAAATACCCAAGATAAAAGCAGTGATTACCTGGATTTGGGGCAAGAAATGAGACTTGGACAAAACAAGGACTGGAGTGGGAGGAAAATTTCTCACTGTATTCTTCTTTATATATAATATTTTTTAAATTGTATAAGTTTTTCAAAAATTAAAGTGAATTTTAAAAAAAGTAAAAAGGGTTTGAAATGTATTAATTTCTCCTAGTAACCTCCAATCATCAAGGTGACTAGTGTGTCAGTTTGGCCTTTTTCTACTAAACCCCCCAACATTACTGTTTTTTTGTGTTCATATCCAATGGTTTAAAGATGTTTGATAGTTTTTAAAAGATTTGCTGACTGACTGCACTAAGCGAGTTAAAGCAGACTGTGTGAGAGCATAGCGGGCAATCAACAAAGAATGGTTTAGTTTTGAGTTAGACCTTGGAGAACATAGAGGAGGTTCAAATCTATTCAATGGCCATTATAAATAATCATTTCAGCTTTATTTTTTCATCAGGAGTTGGATTTTCTTCTCGGAAATTCCTTTTCTTTACTTAAAATTTTCCTTACATTTTAAAGAAATTTTAGAAATTTTGTAAAAACAAAACACAACAACTGTTTTGAAATTGGTGATATGTAGGGCTGGGCTGGGTATTTTCCATCAAAATTCACTGTTCAGCACCTAAAAAGTAGCACATGGACATTGAAAACATCACCTTAAGAAGTAATGCACTGTAGACAATTAAAACTTTTTAAATGAAAGAAACCAAGGGCTACACTTAATTGCATTTGGCACAGTACTCTGAATATGAAATTCAGCTTGGCAGAAAAGCTAAATCACTATCAATAATTATAATCATTTCTAATATCTTGTTTTGTCTCTTGCTGTTTAAAGTTATATCTGTGAAAATGAGGCTATCCCTATGCCACCTCACTGGGAGAACGTGAACACTGAAGTACCATATCAGGTAAGGGTAGAACGGACTGACTGTACTGTGGAACAAATGGGAAAGGACCCCAGTAAACCTATGCAAACTTATTTTTCCAGCTCATTCCTCTGCACAGCCAAACACATGAATATAATGAAGTTGCTAGTCTCTTTGGGAAAACGATGGATCGCAGCCGAATTAAAAGAATTCAGAGAATTCAAAACCTAGACTTGTGGGAGTTCTTTTGCAGGTGAGATGATTTCTAATCCGAACCTTCTTGCCACTGACACTTTCACAGTCTTAGAGTGAAGCACATTGTTTAATTGCATTAATTTTCGGGGGTGTACTGTTTTTTTTCCTGCAGTATTTTGACTTGGTCTCTCAGCATTCCTCAGCGTTCTCAAGGAGTGGATGAAAACTGCTCTGTAAGGTTTGCTTGCAGCCTTGTAATGTCAGAAGTGCTCTCCTTTGAAAGTTTATGGCTGTGCATCTTGGCTAAAATCTTCATTACAGGGGATCTTGGGAGCTGTTTAGTTTTGTTGGTAGACTTCATTGCCTCAGGCTTTAATTATCAGTCCCTAGAAACCTTGTTGGATTTTTTTCTTCCTTTCACTATGTAGATCTGAGTTTCTTTTTTTTTTTTATTTTAGATTAATTTGAGGGTGCAAACAATTAGGTTACAGTGTTTGCATTTGTTAGGTAAAGTCCCTGTTGTAGTTGTATCCTGTCCCCAGGCGGTGTGCCATATACACCCATATTGTGCCCATTAAGTGGGAGCACACCAATCTGCCTCTCTCCTTCCCTCTCCTCCCATCTTGAACTGAATCGAGTTTTTCTCTTGTGTGGGTGTGTATTAGATCATCTACTGGCTTTATGTTAGTATTGAGTACATAGGATACTTGGTTTTCCATTCTTGTGATACTTTACTAAGAAGAACATGTTTCAACCTCATCTAGAGATTTTTTTTAAACAATTATACTCTTGCCATTTGTTTATCTTAAGGCACACTTTATTTTATTTTATGTATTTATTTTTTGTTAGATAAAGTCCCTCTTATAATTCTGTCCTGCCTCCAAGAGGTGTGCCATACACTGTAACCCCCCCATTCCCCTCCCATCTCCCCTCTCCTCACTTGCTCATCCCCTCCCACCTTGAATTAGCTCATCTACTGCCTTCATATTAGAATTGAATATATGGGATTTTTGCTTCTCCATTCTTGTGATGCTTTACGAAGAAGAATGTGTTCCATCTCCATCCCGGTTAATACAAAAGACGTAAAGTCTCCATCTTTTTTAGTGGCTAAATAGTATTCCATGGTATACATATACCACAGCTTGTTAATCCATTCCTGGGTTGGTGGGCATTTAGGCTGTTTCCACATTTTGCCGTTTGAGCTGTGATAAACAGTCTTGTGCAAATATCCTTGTGATAAAAGGATTTTTTTTTTCTGGGTAGATGCCCAGTAATGGGATTGCAGGATCAAATGGGAGGTCTACTTTGAGTTCTTTGAGAGCTCCCCACACTTCCTTCCAAAGAGGTTGTATTGGTTTGCAGTCCCACATCCATGCCAGCATCTGCATTGAGACTTTGTGATGTGGGCCATTCTTACTCGGGTTAGGTGATATGTGAGGATAGTTTTGATTTGCATTGCTCTGATGATTAAGGACAATGACCATTTTTTCATGTTTGTTAGCCATTCATCTGTATTCTTTAGAGAAGGTTCTATACATGTCTCTTGCCCAGTGATATATGGGATTATTGGGTCTTTTTTGTTGATTAATTTGAGTTCTCTGTAGATCTTAGTCAACAGGCTTTTGTCTGTTTCATAGTATGCAAGAATCTTTTATCATTCTGAAGGTTGTCTCTTTGCTTTGCTAGTGTCCTTAGCTGTACAGAAGCTTTTCAGTTTAATTAAGTCCCATTTGTTTATTTCTGTTGTTGTTGCAATTGCCACAGAAGTCTTCTTCTTAAAATCTTTCCCTAGGCCGATATCTTCAAGTGTTTTCCCCACACTTTCTTGGAGGATTTTTATTGTTTTGTGCCTTAGATTTAAATCTTTTATCCATCTTGAATCAATTTTTTGTTTTTTTGCAGTTTTTTTGGCCAGGACTCTGTTTGAACCCACCACCTCTGGTATATGGGGCTGGTGCCCTACTCCTTTGAGCCACAGGTGCCTCCTTGAATCAATTTTTATAAGTGTGAGAGGTGCGAGCCCAGTTTTAGTCTTTTACATGTGGTTACCCAGTTTTCCCAGCACGATTTATTGAATAGGGATTCTTTCCCCTAGTGTATGTTCTTATTTGGGTTATCAAAGATCAGGTGGCTGTAAGAGGCTAGTTTCATCTCATGGTTTTCTATTTGATTCCAAATGTCAATGTCTCTATTTTTGTGCCAATACGATGCTGTTTTGATCACTGTGGCCTTGTAGTATAGCTGGGAAATCTGGTAAGGTGATACCCCCAGCTTTGTTTTTATTACTGGGATGATAATTCCTGTTTTATTGGCTATATGAGGTTTCTTCTGGTTCCATACAAAATGAAGAATTATTTTTTCCAAATCTTGAAAGTATGATGATGGCATTTTAATGGATATTGCATTGAATCTGTAGATTGCCTTGGGTAGTATTGACATTTTCACAATGTTGATTCTTTCCAGCCACGAGCATGGTATGTACTTCTATTTGTTAATATCTTCTGCTATTTCTTTTCTTAGGGTTTCATAATTTTCTTTGTAGAGGTTCTTCACCTCTTTTGTTGTGTATATTCCTAGGTATTTCATTTTCTTTGAAGCTACTGTGAAGGGAGTTGTGTCCTTGATTAGCTTCTCATCTTGGTTGTTATTGACATATACAAAGGCTACTGATTTGTGGACATTGATTTCATATCCTGAGACATTGCTATATTTTTGATCACTTCTAGTCTTGTGGTTGGGTCTTTTGGGTTCAATAAGATTATATCATTGGCAAAGAGCGAGAGTTTGACCTCCTGTGCACCCATGTGGATGCCCTTTATATCCTTCTCTTGCCTGATTGTATTGGCTAGAACTTCTAGGACTATGTTGAATAGTGATAGCAATAGAGAACAACCTTGTCTGGTTCCAGTTCTAAGTGGAAAAGCTTTTAGTTTTACTCCATTCAATATAATATTAGCTGTGAGTTTGTTGTAGATGGCT